CCGTGCTCCCGACGTCTTGCTCGGCAGCAGGACGTACAACACAAGCATCGATATCTGGTCGGCGGGCTGCATCATGGCCGAAATGTACTCCGGCAGGCCGCTCTTCCCTGGAACAACGAACGAGGACCAGATTGTTCGCATCTTCCGCATCATGGGCACGCCAACCGAGAGGACCTGGCCAGGTCTGACGCAGTTCCCCGAGTACAAGACTACCTGGCAAATGTACGCGACCCAACCACTGAGCAGCATCCTGCCCCAGATCGACCCTGCCGGCATCGATCTTCTGCAGCAGATGCTTCACCTCCGGCCAGAACTCCGAGTCTCGGCCGAACAGGCATTGAAGCACCACTGGTTCAACGATCTCACGGCTGCCAAACAGGATCAGCAGGTGCACGCCCAACATCAACTCGGACGGCAGCCCGCATACCAGCAACATCCAGGCTATCAACAGACGGTGCCGAGCCAGAATAAGTACGGCAACTACTAGTGGGACAGGACCCACCATCAACAATCAACGCTGAACCCGCTTGCTGCGCCCTTTGTGCCGCGGCGGAAATAGACGCCAACCCACCTCAAGGAAGGACAAGAATAATTAGAGGACTATAAGCGGGGTAGGGTTTCTTTGATGGATTAGGGACTGGAAGTGAACTTATTTCTTTTTCAGCATCAGGATTATAGGGGGTTAGCGGATATGGTTATTTATGTTCTGTTGGTAGGATTAACCTGCGGACGGAAAGTGTGTGTGTGTGTGTGTGTGTGTCGGATGTTTAGCAAAGCGAAATAGATAATATACCCATTTGTAAAATCGAATCCTTCTTATCGGCTTCACAAAGCAAAGGAATACAAAAGAGTTGAAAGTGTAGAAAGTGTAGAAAAATGGCCAAGAAAGAGGAAAATCACCGTCTGTTGATACCTATGATTTCCTTTTCTGTCAGTGGTCAGCTCAGTGGAGAGAGGATGTCTGGGATCCATTTGACGGAAATGTGAATCCCCCGCTAAGTTCCTTATCGATAACCTTATTTCCACTGCACTCACACCCCATGTCTTGGTCTGTCTCCACCTGTCGCGTTTCCTTTGGCAGTTGGCGCAGTGCAGCGAGTGTTTAGTGAGACAGTGAGTGTGTTGCGCCATAACGTCGTGTGCTGAAGTTGGCTTTGGACCTCTGGGAACCGAACAAAGATAAACTCCGGCAATGGGCAGCAGCATATGCGACTCGCCCGCTCAATTGTGCTGCCTCTCTGCATCGGATTTCAATTCGCCATTTGCAGCACACGCTATTCTTTTTTGATAATTCGACAACTAACCGCATCGCCATGTCGTCGATCGATGTCCGCAGAGGTGGGTTTCGATTCCCCATACACACGCAACTCGGATACTGGCGCGCGCGCATCGACCGATGATGGATGCATCGTTTGATATTGGATGCCCGCGCGGCCCCATGAAAAATTGATTGCTCACTAATAGTTTTCCACAACTACAGATGAAGGGGAGGGCACGATCAAGGTCGCCTCGGGCGGCGGCAATAAGAAATCAATGACCCCCTCGAAACCGTCATCATCCTCGTCCTCGTCGTCGTTCAAGATCAAATGGAAAAGGGGCATACCCAAGGTCAACAAGGCCGGCAACTGGAAAGATTCGAGTGTGAACCTTTTCGATGCGAACAAGAAGAAGAATGCGGATGATTCTGCCAATATCAACGCCGCATCTCCAACGCCGATGGTGAACCAGCTTGATGACCTTGCTCGCGAAACGTTCAACTTTGGCCAGCCTTTTGACGATACGCCCGATCTTCAGCAATGCAAGCATTGTAAGAAAGCTGTAACGCGGACCGCTGCCAAGGACCATATTGCGCAGTGTTTAAAGATCAAGAAGGAAAAGGCGCAGAGGAAAAAGGAGGCCCGAGAAGCTAGGGAGCGAGAGAAGGCCAAGAGGGACGAAGATGCGCGGCGGGCGGAGAACCCCAACGCCGATGGGGGTGCTGACAGCAGTAGTGATGAGGAGGAGAGCGAGATCAAAGTTGCGAACGCCGGAAAGACGACCAAGAAGGCTGCGGGCAAGAAGACAGACGTCTCTGGGAAGAAGAGGAAGGCGGACGGCGAGCTGGATAAAGGCAAGGCAAAGAAGAAGAAGGAAGAACCCAAGAAGGCCGCCAAACCAAAGGGACCTGTCGACGTGGAGAGGCAGTGCGGTGTCACGCTGCCTAATGGCCAACCTTGCGCTCGCTCCCTGACATGTAAGAGCCACAGCATGGGAGCGAAGAGGGCGGTCCCTGGCAGATCATTGCCGTATGATATGCTTTTGGCGGCGTACCAAAAGAAGAATCAGGCCAAGCAGCAAAAGGCTGCCATCGACGCCAATGCGCCGCTCGAAGACGACGACGAACTCAACGCTGGAGCTGTCGACAGCGACGAGGAAACTGCCGCAGTCATGGGTGCACTTGCTCACTGGAATCCTCAACCGGTAGTACCACAGCCTGTCTTCACGCCCATCAAGCGGCAGTATCAGCTCGCCCGGCTTCACGAGCAGCTGCAGACTGCAACGAACGGTGGGCGGGTCAACATCTTCAAGGTCAGCGGGTTTGGCGCTCAGCGCCTGCCAGATAACCATCCTTCGCTCTTCACCGAAGAAGATGCGATAGGCGAGCCGGATACTATCATGTCTGGCGTTGACTACTCGAGACGTTCTTCCAGCTTTAGTCTTTCTGGACCACCTCAACGGCGACCGTCCGTGTCAAGCCGAGCTTAGGAGCCTCGGCCTTGTAACGAACCGTCGCCTTCGGCTGCAAAAAGCCCTGGGTCTACCGCGCCTGCCGAACCTGAAAGACGTCAGAGTAAGGCGTCAATAGCACCTTCCGTCTCACGGAGAGGGAGCACTCAACAACCATCTGGTCCCCTGGCCGGGGTGTCTAAACCAAAGAAAGGTCTCAACAATCGCGGGCAAGGGGGAACATATCCAACCCCGGTCTTGAGTTCTTCTGATGTCCCGGCATCTAGGCGCATGAAGCAGCCAGTGAGGAAGCAGTCTCCGGCTGCTGCTGAGGTGATCTCTGTTGCGTCGCCTCACAATTCGGTCCCTTCGCCCATGAATCTTCCGGGTGCTCCGCCCCCAAGTCCTGTTACTGGGAACTCGAGCGTGGGGTTGCATCCTCCTACGACTCCGGGACTGGCACCTGTTCCTAATGCGGCGGTGCTTGGGTCATCTTCTCCTTTGACCTTTCATCACCCTCCGATGACTGCTCAGCGGGATAGACCTTCTGCTATAACCGCAGGTGGTTCTCCGGTACAACAGCCGCAGCAGTTTCATATTGATTTGCCTATCCCGCAGTCACCGTTTGATGTGGTTGGTGGGCCATCCAATTGGCTTAATGCGAGCTTCCAACATGCTTTGCAACAGAGCAATGAGCAGATTTCCCCGACTGCGGGTGGCAGGGAATTATTTTCGAGGGCACATTGGGAGGGTAGTCCACCCGAGCATCAGCATCATCGGCAGAATATTAGTCCCACGCATCACCGGGAGCGGCAGCAGCATGCATTGATGATGCAATATCCTACCTTGATGGAGGCGACGTCGATGCTTCATGGTGTCAACATCAGCCCTGGGTCAACCATTCGTCCTCCTGTTTCGCCCGTGTCTAATACGATGAGCATACCTTTCGCTAGGCCTGGGATTTCGCCTAGTCAGTTTAGGAGGATGCGGGAGGCTCGTGGATCTGGACAGATGAGGGCGGAGCAGATGCAGCATGCGTTGATGATGGGGGATGGTGGGATGGCGAGGCTGTTCATGCAGCAGTGGTTGGATCAGCATGGTCATGGTCTTGGGGAAGGAAGTGGGAGTGGATAGGCGCGATTGCAGCAGCTGTTGTTACTTGTTGATGTTTTGCTTGCAACTCATTTGACGGCCCTTTGCCTCTCAACAGATTTTATTTCGACATCTCCTACCTGTCATCATTTTTTTCACCAGTTTTATTTTCCGACTGATAGCGTTTCTTTCGGTATACGGCGTTTATTTGTTTCTTGAGACTGTTTTCGGGATATCCGCCTGGGATTTTATTAAATTGCCAGGTACACAGGGATGGGGGAACATTCTGGCGTTTTGATATGCTTTTCCCTTTTCAAGCTTGTCATTATGTTTCTTGTTATTTTTTGCTGGAGGAACTCTGGGATACCACACCGAATTGGGAGATAAGGGGGCGTTTATGTTTGGGTCTGGACACTTTCCTTTCAGAGGGAACAAGGGGGAGAAGGGAGAAGATTGAAGAAAGAGGAATGGCTATGTTTTAATTTTCTACAAAGTCTTGTGTTAGCTAGCGGTGTTTTTTTGTTTTTTTTGGAAGGATAATTGCTCAAGTATTTTTGGTTTTCCTGTTCATTTTTGGGGGGTCTTCCTGGATGGTGGGATGGGAGAGTTGGCTTCGAGATGGGATGGAAAGAATGTAGTCCTTTGTTTGTGCATGAAACTTTTTTTTTTCGATTTTATGATTTGGAGATATGGGGAAGACAAGGGAATCAAGAGGATAGGACTCATGACGCCTCTTCTTGTGTCGTGTTCTCGTGTGTCCGTTAAAGTGCAAAGTATGCCCGTCACCACAATTGCTATTCGCATCGCTTCTACCATCTTCATCAGATGTAGGTCAACGAACACTTGCCATTTTCTTCTTCAACTTGACTATCGCATTCATCTCTTGCTTTAGATAAAAGCAGCCACAAGGAGGTGGCTCTGCCCACACTTACCGGTTTCCGGGTATAGCTAGGTATTGAGTGCTCATAAATCTAGATGGAACCGAAGCCCCACATATCGTTAAATGCAAACCACCCTCACCTAAGCGAGCAGCAGTTTCTAGCAAACTCCTTCCGGATTAGGGATTCGCCAGAAGGTATTCACATCCACATCCGGCCGGTCCCATCCCATCCCATCCCCATCCCAGAAAGAAATCCACCTGCCTGTCTCAACAAGGTACATGAATCATTCCCCCCACCTCTTATCTCAACAATTCAATCCAAGGGCGTGTGGCTCAGTTGGTAGAGCGCCCGCTTAGCATGATTTATCAATCACAGCGATTGCGGAAGGTCCCCGGTTCGATTCCGGGCTCGTCCACTCAATTGATCTTCAGCTGGTCATCCCAAAAGCTGGCAGATGAGCAATAACTTTTTGTGCCGTTTTTCTGTCTTTTATTTTTCTGTTCCAGATAATAAATTTGGCTGGGTTTGGATAAGAGCAGATGAGATGCTCAAATGGTCATGGAGCGGAGGAATGGGCGGTTTGAAAAATCTACATTTTTCTCTCTCTCTCAAAAAAAAAAAAAAAGAATATTGGCACAATGAGGGAGGGCATGTGATCGGTAATTATTACCCCAGAAAAAAAAATTAAAAAAAAAAAAAAAATATGCAAGGGGAAGGAAGAAGAGGAAAATCACACGTGCAGTGCAGCTGCGGGAAGGATTTTGCTTTGCTCTTGGGGAATTTAAATCCCGATTGGGGGGAACTACACTGCACTAACACCACTAAACAAGGGAATTATGACGTAGGTATATGTAGTGGTGGTTACCAGGTACCTAGCTTTCCCAATCCACCTCGGCATCTCGGGGGGAGGAATGCAGCATCAGACAGATAGACAGGCAGACAGACAGACACCCCTACTTGAAAAACTCGTCATCGAAGTAGGTATCGTGAAGGTTTTAATTTATTTTCCATTCTGTATAAATATAATATATATTCTTCCATCTCGTTCAAATCCTTTTTTTTTTTTTTTTAAATACTGATTCAATCTCCTTTTGTTTCCTGGCTCTGACTTGGACGCTGCCGCTCCTGTTCGTTCGCCGTCACCACCGCAGTCGAAAAATGACACTCCTCCCCTCAATAGGCCACGCAGCCTCGGGCGCAACAGGAACCATAATCTCTACCCTCCTCACCTACCCTCTCGACCTCGTCAACACCCGCCTCAAAGTCCAGCGCCAACTGAAGGAAGACGGCGCAATAAGCGACGAAGACGCCTACGACGGAGTGGCCGATGCTTTTCTCACCATCTACGAGAGGGAAGGAGGCGTACCGGCCTTTTTCGCTGGGCTCTCGGCTGATTTGGCCAAGTCGGCTGCTGATAGCTTTTTGTTCTTTTTGTTTTATACTGTTCGTCCTCTCCATTCCATACCATACCCCCCCATCCTTTTTTCTCCTGATTGGGTTGACTGACGCTGTGTGTGTATAGTGGTTCCGAACCCGCCGTCTTGTAGGCCGCAACAATCTGCCCTATCTCAAAGTGCTCGAAGAGCTTGCCGTCGGAGCGTCGGCAGGGGCGTGCGCCAAGTTATTCACTACGCCCGTGTCGAACGTGGTGACACGCCGTCAGACTGCGAGTTTCAAGTCATCATCTTCTTCGTCCAAAAAGTCCAACAAGTCCAGTCCAGAACGGCAGCAACAGCAACAGCAACAAGAATCATCATTCACAGAAATAGTTTCACAAATCCGTCGCGAAAAAGGGACGATCCAGGGTCTGTGGGCTGGATACTCGGCTTCTCTAGTCTTGACCCTGAACCCGTCCCTCACATTCTTCTTGCAGCAAATCTTGAAGAGGCTGCTAGTGCCCGACAGGAAAAAATGGGACGACCCGGGAGTTGCGATTACTTTCCTGCTGGCTGCGATGAGTAAAGTGGCCGCCACGAGCGTTACTTACCCCTTTCAGATCGCCAAGGCCAGGATACAAGTTTCTGGCGGGTCCAAAGAAGACAAGAAAGGAGGAGGAGGAGGAGGAAAGAGGGGGGTTGGGATATTCGGTATGGTGGGGAGGATATACAAGACCGAAGGGGCGAAGGCTTTGTATGATGGGATCGGAGGGGAGTTGTTGAAGGGGTTTTTCAACCATGGCACGACCATGTTGAGTAAGGATCTGGTGCACGGGTTTATTGTTAGGATGTATTTTGTTGTGTTGGGGTTGTTGGTAAGGTGGCCTGGGATTAGAGGGAGGTTGGTTGAGAGGTGGAGGGAGTTGAAGAAACGGGAGGAGGGTGGGTTTAGGGCCGGGACGAGGTTCGTGCAGGGTATTTTGACGGGGTCGTTGAGGCATGCTAAGTCTGGGGCCGCCCTGGTGGTTGATAGTGTGAAGGGGTAGGTCAGATGTATGTGAGGTTGCTTGGTATAATGAGTTTTCACGAATGCAGACTGATTTGATCGGTTCCATGTAAACGCAACCAACCCCCCTAACTGATCGCTTGGCACCATCTCACCTTTCCGAGTTGTTCAAATTGCGGCGCTCTTGATTGTCAAAAAAAAAGTCAAAAAAAAGTCTATACGCTACCTAGCATATATAATGCATAATAAGCTCATCATTATCCAAAAACACCAAAACCCCTCGGCGCACCTTGAAATCTATCTTCGAAAAAAGGGGGGAAGATATGACCCGATCTCTCAAAGGCCACCCCGTCGCTTTGATACGATGATTTGCAGCTTTTTCTTTGCTCATCATCTATTAGGGAGTACCAAATTGCTTTGGTTGCTGTATCTTTGTTTTTACGCTCCCTCGTCTTCCCGTTCTATCCCTCATTACCGCCGCGCACCTTACAAGACACATTAGGGCTCTCGGGTACTCGGTCCTTCTCCTTTCTTCAAATCTGAACCGGTATGCACACCACTTCCTCGACACCCCCAACGCGGCTCGACTTTTTCTCTCTTGCCAAAACATGCGATGTAACCACCCAAAATAAACACCCTTCAGGCAGCGACTCTCATGTCTGACCCGGTAACCTTGGCGACACCGTTCGCTTGGTTGATAATGCGCGGGGCGGCGAAATGTTTACCACGCGCCTTCTCGGTCAGGGCAATAATCTCCTTGAGCATCAATTCGCGGGTGTTACGGGTGAGGTCATCGACATCGGCGCTGGTGAGGCCCTTGGTGGAGATGGGCTCGAGAACTGAAGATGTAGATGTTAGGGAGGATTCAACTTGTTCAGGGGCTATGTAAAAGAGACGAAAGAACCTACCCTTGCATGGAATGGTGCCAGATCTGAAGATGAGCCCCTTCACCCAGAGGATGTGGCTATAGTTGGCCACGACGATGGGCACAATGGGGACCTGAGCCTGAACGGCCAGATGGAAAGCACCTTTCTTGAATGGAAGAAGCTCGGGCTCCTTGCTGTAGCTTCTGGTTCCCTCAGGGAACATGTATACACTCTGCTTCTTGTTCCGGATCTCATTGGCGGCACCGGCCATAGCCTCCCGGGCGTCCTTGGTATTCTTGCGATCGATAAAAATGCTGCCACTCAGCCACATGAACCAGCCCAGAAAGGGAACGTTCTTGAGGGACGACTTGGCCGTGACGCTGCACCACTTGGGGAAGATACTCCCTAGCATAAGAACGTCGAGCTCAGTCTGATGGTTGCCGACGAACACGGCAGGCCGGGTGGTGTTAATGTAGTTCTTGGGATCTTCGAGCGAAAAGCTAACGCCGGTGCTGAGCTTCATGAACAGCTTGAAGCTGCGGCCGCAGGCCCATTGCGAAAGGCCACCGTAACCAATGATGGAGAGGAAGGTTGAGGACCAAACACCGAAGAAGGACGAGGCGATCAGGGAGAAATATGACGCCAATGCCCGCGCCACGAAGGTGGCTTTGGGCAAGATAAACCCGAGCATGTAGAAGAAGATGGTGAGGGCGGTGTAACTGGCGAAAAAGTAGGCCGAGTATTCGAGGATTGCCACCATCATGAGTTGAGCGCGAGGGGAGGAGCGGGGACGAAGGGAGAGGAACGGCAAGCGGGGGTCGGAATCTGCGGCTTTGCCCTCGTGCGTTGTCTTGAAATTTCCCGGCCGTTGAAGTGAAGGGGTCCGAAGGCTTTTTTTGTTTTTCGGCCGGGCAATGGGAATTATGGAACGGGGGAGTGCCAGACTGGAGACTTGGGCAGGTGGCGCTAAATATGGAGTTGCTAGCGAATGTTGGGACCGGCGCAATGCAAGTGATCCGATGCTTGATCTCAGAGGGGTAATCACGGATTTAATAGGGAAAAAACATAAAGTAAAAAACCAATGTTTGACAATGAATGGGTGGACGTGTGAAAATGCAGTCATCCATCCTTTTCTTAAAAGGAACGAATGGTAAAATTCAATATAGGAAAAAAAAAGTTGCGACAGCGCCGGCCGCGGAGTCGCAGGTCCCAAGGGAAGCCAGATGGTATTGCAGATTCTGTGGGGTTGAAGCGGGATGGCTGTTAAAGTTGACGGCCATTGGCCGGAAATCGCCGTGACCGACTCCACATGCAACAACATGCCTTCCGAGGTTGAGGTCTCTTGAATTCGTTGGGGTGAAGATATGTGGAAATGTGGGGCGGAAGCGAGCAAGCAACCCCTGTGATCAGACTTGGCACCGCGGGGATCCGCCGGCTCACGTCACTGAAGGTCAATGCGATGGACTTGACCTGCTTCGTGCCTGCTGACTTGATCAGCGCGACATGTCATGAGTGCATACTTTTTTTAGACTTGAAATTACATAAACTTCCATTGCCTTCCCGTACTTAGTATAAAATCACCCAGATTACCGAGCCAAGTTCTCCACGAGCAGGAGGACATTTGGGTACCCAGCCAAATCATGCAACATGGTACCTGCCCGAGACTTGGATGATGCTACACGGAGTACGGAGATACATATAGGCCATGGATGTTTGCTGGAATGTTTGGCAAAAGCTTGATCGATCTGGCCGAAATCCAATGACCCGGCTCCCCAACAATCCCACGAGAGTCGGATGAACCCCCAGTCTGGAAGAAACGCCCGTTGTCGATATAAAATAAAATGTGAAGCTTGTCTATCACGTGTAATTGTTGCATCCTGGACACCCAAGATATGGCTTGGCATAGAATTCTGGCCCCACGGCACGGGAGTGTTCGCGGCCTTGAGCGCTGGGCGACTGCCTACTTGCAGTAGTAAATTTAGCAATGCGCTACGTTAGCTCGTCGACCTGGCACAACGACGACAAAGCACCATCCATTGGAAAAAGAAAAGATTTCCCGGATGGCAGCAGCAACACCAACATCCAGCCCAAGACAGTAAAAACACCGGGCAGCAATTCAACGAGCTGACCGACGTCTATGATGGTGTCAAGCCGGCGATAGGTCCCC